GAGCCTGGCAAGATGTTGATGAATCCACCATAGTGAAGTGTTTTAAAAAATCTGGTTTCCCTTCAGACCAGGATATTGCTGATAATCCTGAACAGGAAGAACAGGAAGATGGGTTCTTGGATGCAGCAGCACATGACCTGTTTGGTTGTTCTTTGCAGGATTTGGTTGCTATTGACAATGACCTTGCAATATGCAACACTGACACTGATTGGGAACAATCAGCTGTGCACTTGTTGACTACTGACAAAAATGATGATGACAGTGGTGATGAAAGTGACAAAATAAATGATGCCAAAACAACTATCTCCAGCTTAGCTGGAGCTGAAAAAACAGTTGAAGATTTAAAACAGTTTGCTTTACAACAAGGACATGAAGATATTTTAGAACAGCTTCTGAATTTACAAGACGTAATTTGTAAAAAAAAAAAAAAGCTGTACAATTATCTAAACTAATGAAAATGAGCGACTTTTTCACTAAAAAATGATTTATCTGTAATAATTAATTTATAATAATGTAAATAAAAATAACACGCTATTTATCATTGTTTTTATTTATTGTATGATGTGGATGTATGCTTGTCTGTTTAGCTGATCTCCCTTAAAATCCCCGCCCTTAATAAATATTCATGAATAAATGAATAAATTAGGCCACCTCCATATAAAGACCACCTGTCTATAAAGGACACTTTGGCTCAGTCCACTGACTGTCCTTTATAGACAGGTTTGACTGTAACAGTTAAAGCTCAAATTTTATTCATTTTATGTTATTATAGAAAAAAATAATGGTTGTTGGTATTGATGTTTATCATGATGCTGTTCGAAGTAATAAATCAGTGGGAGCAATGGTAGCATCTACTAATGAGTAAGTATTTCATACTGGTCATTCCACTCTCTTCAAGGTCAGCTATGGAGTATAGATCAGTTAAAGTGGGAGGGTCATCTCCTGGGCATGCGCAGGTATCGAGTCCAAAACAATGATAGCAACACGCGCTAAGAACGCAAAAGCTCATTGGTAGACGCTTGTTTGTGAACAACTCCTCCACTTTAAATGAAAATACTGTATTTTAAAAACAACTTATGAATCAGGCGGAGTGGAGTGGTGTAGCATAGTAAGTGAAAAGCTACATTCTAGGATTATAGTTATTAGCAGAGTGGTGTGGCATGATTTCTTATAGTTCATTCGTAGCAAATAATTGTGACTTGTTATTTTCAGAAAGATCGGTGATTCCCTCAAACTGTACACTGAGCAACCCAGAATACC